GAGCTTTGCATTTAACTCCCCTTTACAAACAATAACAAAGTGGTTGAGGCTTTGTTTTGTTTTTCTTTGTGTTTTGTTATGGAATTATTTTTCAATGCCTCAAGATATACTTGCTCACCGTCTCATAAACTCCTGTCACCAGTACCACTTGTGTGGGGGTCACCTCTTCAACCCACTTGCATCCATCTGAAATTGCAGCCATGTCCTGAGCAAATATATAACTAGAGAGATTTGAGACTCCTTTCAACAGATGGAGAAATACTGTCAAATTAGCAGAGGTATGTGAAATGCAGAACTTTTAAATTATTTCATTTGTAGAAGTTGTTTAAAATGTATAACATTGACATGCTACATGCTTTTAAAATTTTTGTGCAGGATAATAAGAAAGCTATGTTATGAAACAATACATATCCGCCCCCCACTATGATTCTTATGCTTGGGGAAGACTGACAATTACTGATATATGCCTGTCAAAATCTGTCCCATTCAAGCAGTACTTCCCTGTAGTTAATCCAGGGGTCCCAATCTCCGCTATGCATCATAATCCCCTGAGGAATTTTTAGAAATGCAGATACCCAGACCCCTCCTAATCTAGTAAATCAGACTGGGGCAAGGATGTAAGGCAACTCTATTATTAAAATCTTGCAGGTAGAACCAGGTGTAATGGTGCATACCTGTAAGTCCAATAACTGGGAAGACTGAGGCAGGAGTACTGCAAGTTCAAGGCACTAAGCAACTTAGCAAGACCCTGTCTCAAAATAAAAAAGAGCTGTGGATGTAGCTCAGTGGTAAAGTGCCCCTGGGTTCAATCCCCTGGGAAGGAAGGAAGGAAGGAAAAGAAAGAGAGAGAAAGAAAGAAAGAAAAGAAAGAAAGAAAGAAAGAAAGAAAGAAAGAAAGAAAGAAAGAAAGAAAGAAAGAAAGAAAGAAAGAAAGAAAGAAAGAAAGTCTTGCAGGTGGATTTCCCATTGATTAAGAAGTTGGGACAGAGGAGGAACCCACTTCATTCCTTCTGCCTGAAACATTCCTGATGATCATCAAAGTCAGGAGTCAGGTGTCTTTCTACCCACTCTCTCCTAGAACGATATCAACAAAGCATTTTCTTTGCCCCCTGCTGGATGTCAGGCAGAGCTGCTAGCAAAATACATTAGGGAAGAGAGAGGATGGAGAAACCCTGACCTCCGTCTGAGCTGCAGTCTGAGCTCTTACATTGCCATATCTAGCAAAGAAAAAGACAGGATTCCCAGTTAAATTGGAATTTCAGATATCCAATAAATATATTTTTAGTAGAAATATGTCTTAAACATTACATGGGGCATATTCATGCTTTAAAACAAATGATTCATTTTTTTACCTGAAATTCAGATTTAACTGGGAATCTTGTCTTTTATCTGGCTACCCTACCTGAGGGAATATCTTCTGCTTCTCTGAACCTGTTTCCCCATGTGGAAAGTGAGGGGGCTCCAATAGATGGGCCCCTATGGCTTGCTGGTAGAGATGCAGGAGTTCTGTATCCCTGAGAGTTTTTCTCTCCATTCCCACCAGGGGGCGCCCTAACCCTCCTCAGTCCCTCATGGGCTGGTGACTCCCCTTTGGTCCTGCTGGCTCTTCTGGGTCATCTGGAAACCAGGTTGGAAGGCCCGGGAGAGTCAGATTTGCTCATTCCCTGGGACCACCATTCAGAAGGGGAGCAGTGGAGATCCTACAGTTTCTGAAGACTGCACCATCTCATCCAGATCTGTCTACCATTATTTAAAAGAGGACACTGAATGACCCCTTAGAGGGTGAGACACTTGTGCAGGCTCCCACAGCTGTCCTGGAAACTAGATCCCTAATTCCCTGTCTGGTGAACTGTCGCCACCCTTATTTTTCCATTTCCAGTTGGACATGTTTAACCCTTGCAGTCCTGGAGCCAAAACCAAGACACTGACGAGCCTGGCAGAACTGAGACACTCCCCAGTCTAGGTAGTGGGGAAGGAGTGACCTCTCACACTTGCCGGGAATGGTTGTTGGTGGTGATGATCTATTGGCTTGCTCTATGCTAGGCACAGCAACCTGTGAGGCAGGCACTATTCTCATCAGGAGTTTCACAGATGAAGAAAGAAGGGCTCAGAGTGCCGAGCCACAGGACTAAATGAGGTTCAATCCAGTTCTGCAGCCGTTGAGAGGCAGAGAGGCTTCGATTCTCTGACTCCGCTGACCTGGGTGCCTCCTCTTTCCTTAAGGGCCTGGCCGTGTCCTCTTTAACCAATGGTAGCAGAGGCCTGGATGATCTCCAAAGGAGACCTTCACCTTCCCCGTGAAAAGGAAAGGAGGGATTGGGGAAGTGAGGGGCGGCCACCATTTTGGTGCAAATGATTTTAAGATTGATAATTAAATTCTCTTTGGACAGTCAGATTATCAAAGAGAAGTTCTCTTAAGTTTTCTTCTTTAGCAAAAAAACAGCATGGGGTACATGCCTACCTGCACATTATTTTTTCATTGCATTTGTTATTTTTGTTGTTTTTATCTTTAAGTGTATTTCTATTTTTAGCAAATGAAACTGATCTTCCATTTAAGGCAATAGTGCAATTTCTTGTGAATGTTAAGGGGTGTGTGTGTGTGTGTGTGTGTGTGTGGAGAGAGAGAGAGAGACCTTAAATGCTTTGCTTTAAAGGGAGGAGAGGAGGATATGGAAGCCCTGCCTGTAAGGATCCTGGATCCTGAGCTTTCCCACAGGCAGCAGGTGTGCAGCCCTACCCTGCCCCCCCCCAGGGCCCTGGCCTGAGTCATGCTTCATGTCTCTTTGTACTGGCTTTTCCTTGAAAATACTGAGGAGCTCGCTACAGGGGGACATCCAGACACAGGGGAGAAAGCTCTGGGTTCCCATCCTCCTCCCCCACCACTATCCTTTCTCATTCCTTTTTCGTGCCCAAGTCACCCAACCTCCCTGAACCTCAGTAAGTTGTTGGCAGATCTGTTGGTCGGTGCTGTGTACCCCACAAATGATCAGTCCTGGACCAACCTAGCAAGGCAAGTCCACCACCTTCCTCCACAGGGCCGTGTTTCCCACCTGCTGGAAGGAGCACCCGTGCACCTGTTTCCCAAGAGAGCCCTGCTTTGTTTCCTTTCAGCAGGCGCCTGCTGCTAACTGAAATGGTGATGTTAGGGATATCTGCTTAGCTAGGAGGGAGACTCCAGGGAAGCAAAGCCCGTGCCTGCCTTACCCCTGAGACCACAGGATGATAGTGCCTCACACAATACACAGGCCCGAAAAACATTGTGAGCAGATGAACAAACCAGCAATGAAACTTACTCTCCTCCCTCTCTCTGCCCAGATGCCTCGAGATTATGAGCCGCTCAGTGCTGGGCTTGCATTCCTCATGAGAACAGGACCAAACCAGACAATCCCTCCCTTCTCTCCCTCCCATTATGCAGATGAGAACACCAAAATATGGTTGCTCTGTTTTTAGGAGTTGTATTATTTTAATAATCTTTAAATAATTTGAAATAAGCCAGGCGTGGTTCGAATGCCTGTAATCCCAGCAGCTCTGGAGGCTGAGGCAGGAGGATCGCAAGTTCAAAGCCAGCCTCAGCAACAGCCAGATGCTAAGCAAACTAGTGAGACCCTGTCTCAAATTAAAATACAAAGTAGGGCTGGGGATGTGGCTCAAGGGTTGAGTGTCCCTGAGTTTAATCCCCAGTACAAAAAAAAATTGAAATAAGGGGGACAACTTCTAAGTTTGACACCTAAAGACCCAACTATGTGGCCCATTGCAATTGAGCACATTTTTTGGTGCCTGTTTCTCCATCTCTATGGAGACTCCTGGAACTGAAATATCACACTAGTAACTAGAGTGATGGACACACAAGCTGTGGAAAATGACCTGTGGGCTTATGGCGAGCTAGAACAGCACTGTCCCATTGAACTTCCTGTGATGATGAAAATGTTCTAGATCTTCCTTTTTGTATAGGGGAGCCACCAGCCAGCCATGCCTGTCAAGCACTGAAAATGTGGCTATTGTGACTGAGAAACTGGATTTTTATTTTTATTTTCAGGACTGGGCATGGAACCTACAGCCTCATTCATGATAGACAGCACTCGATCACTGAGCCATGTCCCCAGGCCCAGAGAAACTGAATTTTAAACTTCAATCAACTCATAAATGAGTAGTGCAATGCTAGAATCATTCCAGGAAAGTATAATAAATATAACTAATGTAATAACCAGTTCTAATGAATAACTAATATTATAGCTAATATAATAATAGACTACTGCTAGAATGCTGTTGTCCTGTTAGACACTCTCATGGTCACCTATACTCTTTCTTCATTGCACCCACCACATCCTGAAATTTGTATTTAGTTGTGCAATTATTTAATGTATCCTTCAAGGGACAATAAACTCCAGAAAAGCAAAGACTTTGTCTGCTAGACCACAATTGTGTCCCTGGTGCCTCTCATGGAACCTGGTATAGAATAGACAAATAGTAAATATTTGCTGAATGAATGAATGAACACATGTATGATTAATGAAAGGAGATAATTGCTTAGCCAAGTGAATTTCAATTATTAAAATTGGTCAGACCGTAGGTCATTCAAAAGAGTTAGCTAAATTAGTGCTCATACAGGTGCAATGGCGCACACCTGTAATCCCAACAGCTTGGGAGGCTAAGGCAGGAGGTTTGCAAATTTCAAGGCCAGCCTCAGCAACTCAGCAAGGCCCTAAGCAACTTAGTGAGACCCTGTGTCAAAAATAAAAGATAAAACGGGCTGGGGATGTGGCCCAATGGTAAGTGTCCCTGGGTTTAACGCCCAGTACTCAAACAAATAAATAAATTAGTGCTCACAGCAACCATACATTCCCTGTGTATAAATAAGTGTGTATGTGCAGTGTGTGTCCAAAAACATGGTGGTAGGTTTGCATTTGTGTGGTTGTGTGTAGATACGTGTGCCCACGCGTTGTTGTGCCAGGGTAATAAGGTGCCCGAGACAAACACACATTGCAAAATCACCCAGGAAGGCAGTTTCTAAGTCATTACTTTTTATTTTGAAAGATTTGTCAAACTCTTCACATCACGGTGAGAGTTGGCACAATTAATAAGAAGCAGCTTTCTCATGAAATGCTTGGAGGTGCACGAGTTCTCAGCCTGTGAGATCTGACCATCCCATTGACTTTGAAGTTTCTCTGATTAATAGAAGATGCAAAGGGGGAAAGAAAAAAGGAAGAACGTGCTAGCAACTTAGGACAGCCATTGAAATGTGAAAAAAAATACAACCAATTCACCCAACTCTACTATTTCTGCTTTACTACTTTCTATGTCTCATTCTTGGTTTTGTCTTCCTGCCTGAAAGGGCCTCTCATTTCCTGGAGCACACACCCCCCCCCAAAAAAAAAAAAAAAATCCAGAATCTCCAAAAGAAGTTAGGAGGGAAGAAGTCCTTGTAGCTGATCCGCGCCCTCAGAGCACGGAAGGCCCGGGGCTCCCAAAAGTTCAAACAAACAGCCTGATGTGAAAAGAAATTAGACCAGGGTGAAGGAGGAAATGGGCTTCTATGAGAATTTGTGTATTTTTAGAACATGGCCCCAGAATCTTTCAGTCACAGCCCCAGGCAAAAAAAAAATAGACTTGCTTTCTATGGTTCTGGCTGTTGGGTCCCTGAGACCTCTCCCACCACTGTCCCAGGAATGGCCTTGCCAACAACATGTCTGTTACTTCCCGTCCCCACCTCCAGGCCACCTGGGGAAGACCCCAGGCAGCCAACATCATCCCCTGAAATAAAATTAACATAAAGTCTGACTTGGTGAGTATTAGTTTCAAGCAGAATAATAGAAAATCTGAAGATTCAATGTGTGTCGAAGGCAGATTCGAGCGGGTCAGCTTCCACCGTGACCAGCAAGACAATGGCCACGGTGTGCCAACGCCAAGAGAAAGGTGGGGCTGCGAATGGGCGACCCCCAGTTAAGTGACAAGCAAGAATGTCATGACTTGGGTTACCACTTCCATTTTTTAGCACCGTTAATGTACTCATTTAAATCTATGTTAGCACCTTATCCCCAGGCAGAACAACCAACCATCCAAACATTTTAAACATGGGGGGAAACAGGACCGGGAAGATCAAAGAGAAAGAATCCGGTTCTGCAGAAGGAGGCGTGGATTTAGATGACAAGATCCTTGTCGATATCCTCTGCAAAGCAAGAAAAGAGAGTTTACCATGAGGCCCTGGGTGGAGGAGATGCGCTCCCCTGGAGGGGAAGGCGGTTGGATTCCCACCCATCCAGAGGCAGGGGGGCTGGGGCCAAGGCCAAGGTCCCCAGGGTGTTGGTAACCTTGCCCCCTGTCTCTGGCCTGTCCCAGTCTCTTACACACCCGCCAAGTTACACTTCCTGCTTCCTCTCCGTAGCCTGCCAGTTCCCAGAATAGTGCTTGGCTCAAAGCGAGGGCCCAAGCTTGAGGTACAGAAACGGAACAAGAAAGAGACCTTGAGAGGGACAGAGAAGGATCTGGAAGACACCTGAGAGAGCAAGGCTCACCCAGCCTGGGAGAGCACACAGGGGTGAAATAGGCACAGAGGGCAGAGACAGCAGAGAAGGGGACTCAGGCAGCCGGCAGAGAGGTGGGGGACGACAGCCCACCACCTGGGGGACCGCGCCATGCCCTGGGCAGACACTCACTCTCCTTGATGCCGAAGCAGCCTGCCCACTCATCCAGGGCAATGTACTTGTCATTGTCCAGGTCACAGGTCTCGAAAAAGCGGGTGGTGCAGTGCTCCATGGGGATGAGGGGCGCACGCAGAGGGGCCAGCTCCGTGTGGGACAGGTACCTGCAGGAGAGGGGCGGGGGAGGGCCTGAGCGCGGGAAAGCCCCAGCACAGGAGACATCCAGGTAGTGAGCCTGCACGGCAGCATGGAAAGAGAGAACGTTCCATGCCAGGATCCCAGGTCTATCCCTGCTCTGCCATGATTCTACTGTGGTCCTCGGAGCCCAGCTCTCCCCACCCCTTGATGGAGGGAGAGAAGCTGACCCTAGTTTCTAAGGACCCTTCCATTTCTGAGGTGTCCTGGGCTCACTAGCAGAGGTCTCTTGGAGTATTTAACTGTTTCCTAATTAGCCAAGAGTTGGGGGCATAGAAACTTAAAAAAAAAAAAAAAATAAAAATATTCAGCACTTCTGCTACTGCTAGGTCAGAAACTGGTATGAACACACATTTATACAGCTGAAAATGCCTCAGAAAGGGTCTACAAAGAGACACACCAAACCAGTGCCAGTGCTGACTTCCGGGCCTGGGATGGGCAGCCAGGGTCCAGGGAAGCTGTGAGTTTGCAAAGCTTTATTTTTGCATATCACATAAGGTCTTCCGGGAAGTCTCCTCTGATCTGCCTCCCACCGTCTTCCATTCCTATTCTTCCTGCTACCCGTGGACTCCAGAGCACATGTGTGATTTTTTTTTCTTTTTTTCCCAACGCCCTTAACAATTTGTCCCAAGTCACTCTTCCCCTCAAGGGACTCCAGGGAACTTTGGGACTTCAATACTTTTTTTTTTTTTTTTCCTAACCAGACCTCACAGCCCATGCAACTCATGGAGGGAATCCCACGATGTTTGAACTGGAAGAAACACTCCCTGGCCCCACCCTGCTTCATTGCACAGGTCGGGATACTGAAGGGAGGGGTGGGGACATAGGCAAATCCACCCACAGCTCTAGGACCAGAGGAGGAGTAGGAGGTGGCTCCCCCAGCCCAGGCTGCAGCGCACTCCCAGATGCATGTTTCCTGCAGGCGCATCTGGAAACCTCTCTCCAGATCCAGTTGTTGCCGTGGGATCCAAGGGCTCAGCCTGAGTTCCAGATGGTCCCCTATGATTTTCCCCCTCTCCCTCACAGTGAGTGACTCAGCTGGATCCCTGCCACATCAAGAGCCTGGGAGAGAAGTAGCTGGGAGCTTCCCAGAGCCCCGGAGAACCCAGCCACCCAGGATGGACCACAGGGTGGGCACGATCCCCACGGACGGGCTAGACAAAGAGCTAGCAGTGAGCATCCCAGAGAGGAGTGTCCCAGGGTGCAGTGCTGTTCCCCCAGACATCTGAGCAGGGTGGCCCTCCTGTCCCCAGTGTGAGACATCTGCTTCTCATGATCAAAGAAAAGGGTGAAAGGGCTCCAGGAAAGAGGGGAAGGGTATCTCCTTCTGGCTGAGCTGGGTTCTTGCTCTCATTGCCACAAGAGTGGGCCTGCGGGTGGTGGCAGGGGTGAGAACAGAGCCTGATCTCTGAGCATTGTTAAAGTCCCTGCCTGGAACAGTCCTAGGCGCAGAAGAGACAGTGTGTACCTCGTAACCGCCCAGCTGCCTGCCTATTGTGCTGCATAAGTCATTTGGACAAGGGGCAGGTGACCTCAAGCCAGGGACAAGCAATGTAGTTGAAACTGAGTCCGAATATTATAGGAACTTCCAGGCTTTGTTGGGACTGGGCCTCGGGATGAGGCTGAGACTCTGCTGGATGATTGTTCTGCTCCCAGATGTTCTGCCAAAGGACAGGGAACATGCCGGCCACACTTGTACCCCCTGGGGTCTGGTACTCCTTCCTAACTGGTGGGGACCCAAGTGCCAACACTCTCAGAGTTAAGGAGGTATTTTCAGTTCCTGGTGACTTCCGCCTCTGGCACAAGGGCATCTTATTGCTTTCTTCTTCCCAAATCCACATCCTTTCTCCAAATGGCTCTTCCTTCTTCTCCAAGCCCCAGACAAACTGGGGTCTGAGACTAGGAACAGTGGAGTTTGCCTAGAGGCTTTCTGGCTGCATCTAGTGAACCCACCAGCCCTGACCTGTGACTCCACCCGCTCCAGGGCCAAGCCAGAGCTGGCCCCTGTGGTCCTGAGGGCCTGGGGTCTTACCCATCAAAGGGGTGCTGGTCCAGCTGGCCAAACTGCCAGTGCACGGGGAAGATGTACATGTTGTAGTTCTTCTCAAAGTCCCTGGCCAGCAGCTCCACAGGGTGGTCGCCAGCTTCCAGGCGCTTCTCGTTCTCATGGATCTTCTTCACCTGTGGGGACAGAGACACGGGTGACAAAGGATCCACAGGAAAACCTCAAAGCCCACCTGGGCCCTTCCCACCTCTGACAGGAGGCCGGGCCAGACAGAAACCAGCCAAGACCTAAGGTCTCAGTAAGGAGAAGGAAGGGGCAGAGGCACTCACTCACAAACAGGCAGGCCTGGGACTCCCTGAAAGTGTCCTCATAGAGCTCCACAGTCAGGGTCACCTGGAGAATGTGCTTAAGGGCAGCTTCCTGGCCACAGAGAAGCTGATGCACCAGGTTAAGGGAAGCTGAGGAGTTTACATTGCATCAGCATCTTGGATTAAAGATCCACAAACTCAGAAAGAAGAAGGCCCAGGACGTGTGTCTCTTTTGTTCAACACTGGGCCGGACAAAATGAGTGGACACCTTACTAAAGGACTTCTCAGGTCCTTTAAGATGCCTTTCAGCCTCCAAAGGCAGCAAGGAGAACCGCATGCCCTGGTACTCAGGGCCAGTGTGCTTCCCAGGGAGGACGCAGGCTTACAGAGAGGGCCTCGTTCTAGGGCCAGGACAGGCTCTCAGTCAACCCAGGGCCCGCAAGGCCAGGCAGGAAAGAGCCCACTTACTCTCAGCTTCTGCTTCTCAGTCAGAAGGTTGTTATCTTCGTCCCTCTCGTACAGGGTGACCAGGACATTCTTGAGCCAGTCACGCATGCGCAGAGGGAATTCAGTCAGCTCAGAGTCCAGGCAGGGGGGGATGTCTAGGGTCCAGAACACATGGGTAGTCAGCCCAGACCCGGACTCTCCCTGCCTGAGAGCTGACACGCTGCCCAAGCCACTCCACACCCATGCTGGACTCCCACGGCCACTTCACCCAGTGCCTTGGGACAGTGCTCCCCACCTCTGAGCAGCTCCTCCCAGGAGACCCTGTGGGGAGAATGCTCTGGGAATGGGGATGTGCGGAGGTATCCCTCTGCCTCCTTGACCTTGATCTGCACTTCTAGGGTCAGGGTCACCTTCCTGGGTGATAGCCGTGGGTGTGAGGCCTGCAGAGGCTGAGCCTGCACTATGTCAAATGTCAGGAGGTGTTTGAAGACAGGAGGCTGGGGAATGAGCTTGGCAGGCTTATTGGGTCGGGGGCAGAGGAATCAGGAAAACTGAGCCTCCAGAACTTTCTCAGAGATAATGACTCCATCCTGCCTTTATAACTTAGCCTCCCAGAGATCAGACCTGGAGATTTCATCCAAGTCCACCCTCTTCTTGGACGCACTGGAGGTCAGTGGAGGAAGGGGCTTACTGCAGACCCCATGATCAGAGCCCCCCCCCCCCAGCATCTAGGACAGTGTGGCTGTCTGGGGCAAAAGCCCACTTCACACCTCGCTGTCCAAGAAATTCCCAACATCTCCACCCATTTCACACCCTGGGCCCCATAACTGGCAGCATAGAGCTAACCACAAGGAGAACCTTCTTTCCTGCCTGTCCTCTACCTTTCTGCAGCCTGCACACCTGAGGCAGGTGAGCCGTTCTCTTAGTGCCACCTGTACCAGAAGGTACTGGGGATGCAATGCGTGTCATCTTGCAAGGGAACGAGTAGTCTGGGGTGTCTCAAACTATGGGCCAGGGGAAACTGCAGCTGGGAACACTAACAAAGGGCCAAGGACATCCTGGCGTCCTTTCTCTCAAACACCTGACTCCCTGGTTTTGAGAGGAGGGTGGTCATTATGTGTCTTAAGAAGGCAGATAGAAATGCACTGGAATAAAGGGCCTATGACAATATTGAGGAACAGAGCTTAAAAGGAACTGACAGGCATACCCTTAAGTTAAAGCACTCAAATTCAAATATTTAAAAAAAAAAAAACAACTTTGTAGGCCCAGGTTAAAACATTATTTTTGCTTTACAGTATTGAAGCAGGAAAGATTTGAGTTAGCCTTCTACAAGAACTTCTTCATCACTAGAGAAAAGAAATGTGGTTGTCTTGGGTGCCAGTGGGAGGCTCCAGATATCCTCCCTGATCTTGTGCTTTTATGATGTCTCCCTTCTTTCCTGGGATCTGTCCTAATTCAGAGCTGAAGGAAACAACTCCATAGACAATCATCTCATTTTATAAATGGGAACCCCGAGGCTCAGAAGGGGAAAGAGATTTGCTCAAGATCACACAGCATAGGGGGTGGTAGAGCCCACACCTGCCAGTGCCAGGGCTCCCTCCCTAAGCTGGGAGCCAAGGGCCCAAGGGAAGACTCACATTTGCAAGGCCCGATGTAGTCCAGGTGGAGCTTGTGGCCCTTCTTGGTGCCCTCCAGGGTGCACTTTGTGGCAAAGAAGTGGCAGGAAGAGTCGAAGGTCTTGTTGTCATTGCTGCACACCTGTTGGCCAAGCACAGAGCCCCTTCCTCATTCCCAAAGCCCTCTTCTGGCCCACACTGGCTGGTTTCAGAGATGGGGACACTGAGGGCCAAGCCAGGAATGTGATGAGCCCAAGGTCATGCAGGGAGTTGGTGGTGGGGCTGGGACAAGAGCCCATTCTCTAGGCTCCCAGGCCAGAGGTCAGCCCATGCTGAGAGCCACTGATGGTCTCAGAGCAAAGGCACAACTGAGACAGGATGGAGACCCAGGAGGACATTTGAATGACCAGCCAAAGATGGGGACAGGAAAAAGACAAGAGTGGACATGAGAGATGGGAGATTGGTGTCCTTAGAAAGGCCTGCTTGTGAGGCTGGCCTCTGGCTAGTGTCAGGGAACCTGGCTGGTGAGCAGGTCTCTGCACTGTCACAAATCTTCCCCTGATAGGGAGGCTCACTCAACCTAGACTGCTCAGGCACATGCTTCACTTCATGTTGAACATCTGCTGTCCCTGGGAGTCTGGAATTTTGGTACACACTAGGCAGAGGGTGCCTAGTTGCCCATCCCTATTAAAACGCTGGGTGCTGAGTCTCTGGGTGGGCTTCTTTGAGCAGAAACAGGTATCTGCATTTTTGAAGATGGGATAAGAGTGAACTCCATGTGGAAGAGAGGAAGAGAATACTCAGGCCTCCCATGGATCCTCCAGTCTCTGCCTGGGTCTTTCCCACTTAGGTTCTGGCTGTATCCTCCACACATCGCTGTAATAGATCACAGCTATGGCACGACCGCATGCTGAGCCCCTCCAATCTCCATTGGAACCTCTGATCATAGGGGTTGCCAAGCAGCAATGCTGAGGGCTCAGCTAGATAGGAGTCAGAAAGTGGCTGTGGTACAGAGGAGGAATTCCTGGCATCGGTGATCTGCGGGATGCGGGAACTGGGAGGCGGAAAGAGTGACCAAGGATGCTCTAACATGGAGCATCTTAAAGAAGGAGAAGCTAAGCGGGTACCATATTTGCTCCCCTGAGCTAGGTTACCACTCACACAATGGTGGACATAGGTGGGTATTGATTTGGATGAATGGATGGATGGATACTGGAGGCAGAATGGACAGGTCTGAGAAATAATGAAATAAATAAATAAATAAATAAATAGCATGATGGGTGACTTATTATGTCCTGGGCATTGTCTTACAAAGCCACACAACAACCCTTAGAGTTAAGGACCATTCCTATTCCTTCTTTAGACATGAGAAAAGTGAGATTTGTGAAAGACTCAGCAACTTGGCTGAGATCTTATAGCTAACAAGTGATGGAGAGGAGGCTTGAAGTCAACCTCTAATCTGGCTCCAGAAGCAACATTTTTAGACATGATACTCTGCTAAGCTGCACAGGACTTATTCTCCTCTATCGAGTCAGGTGTAGAGCTTGGAATTCTGGAGTCCTGAGAGTGTGCATCCAGCACAGAGCTGGGATCGTGATGGTGTTGATGAGATTCTCCTTGGTTGTTGGACAGCCTCGCCCCTGACTCAGCTCCGCTTTTCTGCTGAGACTGGATCTAACGAAGGGGCTCCTGAGACCTGAGCTGCCCTGTAGAATCACCAAGCCCAGGGTTTGCTGGGCAGACGTTCCGAATGCTGCGGGGCCCAGTCCCTTGGCCCTTACCTTCTCAAACTCGCCGATGGGCGCAGGGCAGCTGGTGGGGTCCTGGCACACGCACATGGGGCTGTTGTTCTCATCCAGCTCGCACACCTTGCCGTGTTTGCAGTGGTGGTTCTGGCAGGGGTCTGGTAGGCACACGGGCAGGGAGTTAGCACCCCTGGCTATCATGTCCTCCCCAGGTTGATCCCAGCAGAGCTCTGGACAATTTGCTATGGTCCTATTCTGAGCTTTGGGTGGGCCACCCTGCTCTTCAACTGAGCCTGGCAATCAGCATTTAGGGGAGCAGATGGCTCAGTGTGAGAATGAGAGGTTCAATCCAAGGTTGGGACCAGGTACTTTTTAGGGGCTCAATCTGGGTCTCTGAAACACTGGGATGCCAGATGGCCTCCCTGACACTGAAGCAACCAAGAATTGTGGTCTCAGCTTTCAGCTGAACCATCACAGAGAGGCATTTCGGGAATCCAGGACAGATTTTCCAGAATGGCTTAGCAAGTCAGCTGTGGTCATGGAGCAGTGAGGGTCTATAAAGGAAAAGGGAGAAGGGGCTGAGACAATAGAGCCAGCTGCGTCTGTAAACCCCGGATGAAGTGGGCGTGGACAGGGAAGGAACATGACTCAGGAGACACTCGCCTGCTCCAACAAAAGCTCTGTGCCAGCTCCGTCCAAATGCCTGTTATTTATCCCTTCAGGATGGGAGCTGCATCTAGCCATTTCCTCCTGACGCTTAACTGTGGCTGTTATAATCATCCCTTACTGGATGCTGCTCTGCAGCATGGGGTCAAGTTCTCTGTTGCTTTGGTTCCTTCCCCTTCCAACAGGCCCAGGATGAGGGTCTATGACTTCATCATTCCCATGCCAGAGGGGAGCAAGGTGAGGGTCAGAGGGGCTGGCAAGCTCTCCTGGAGAAGTCTAGATTCAAACCTTGGTTGGATTGCTTCCAGAGTCCATGCTCTTGACCCCTGAGGTACAGCTACTCAACCTGAGAGCAGGACCCTGAGGCCCATTGGTCTTTCTCCCCCTCGGGCACTGACTCCGTGGGTAATGTTAGGACTTAGGTCTGCTTTCCCTTCTTCGGGGCCTTATTTTCTTGGGCTGAGTGACAATCAGATAAGGTGATAAAGTGTGACCACTCCCGATCTCCATTCTCAGACGTGCTCCTATGCAGGGGCTTAGGCTGAGACAGAGGCCACAGGCCATCTGGGGAACCAGACGTGACTCATGACCCCACTGGGAATGTGAAATCCAACTTCGGAATCAGGGCAAAGAGCTGAAAGGGGAGAAGTCCACTCCCAGCTGGGGAACTTCCCTTCCTGCCATTCAGAGCACACATGGTCTGGCTATAAATAGACTGGTCCAGGGGACTGCGTGCCAAAGAGTATTCCAAACCTCCAAGACCAAGCCGCCTCAACGGCCTTCTCCTTGGCCCACTGAGGGCCGCACCCTGAATTTTCTTGAGTAGGCTGGCCTCAGGCCCCAGGCCCAATCAGCCAACAGAGGACTGGATGTGCAGAGTCACAGGCGAGGGACCTACTTTCAGCCACCACCTCCTCTGTGGTTTCCTCGGCACCATCCTCAAATTCGCCTACTTCTACCTGGACAGGGTTGGATCCCACGGTTACCTGAGATGGAAGGAAGAGAATCAATCAAATGGTCCCCACCCTCACCCCAGACCTAGAAGTGAGGGGTGAAGATGGGTGGGGGGGCTTGCCCGAAGCTTCAGATACCCACAAGGAGATGATAGTGAGGTAGAAGGGTGGGCTGAGCCCAGGTCACCACCCAAATGCCAGGGTTGGGGATTTAGATTTAATCTTATATTTATTATTAACTTCTTAATTTATTAAACACACTTCTTGTTCATCTTAGATTAAATGTTCTGTAGCGCTCTGGAATTCTGTTTTGACGCCCAGGGTGTTAGGGCCAGAAGGGATGCCAAGCCCCCTCACCCTGCCAGCTACACCTGCGCAGATCCCCATTCATCTGTTTGTGCAAGGGGAGATTTTGGGTGATCATGCAGAAAAAAACTAAAAATTTCCAAATCATGCCTCCCAACTATAGGATTCTATTGAAAATTTGGGAACATTCAGGAGCATGTTGGGATTTGGGAGAATAGGTTGTCCATCTATGCTGTGTGTGCACCCAGGAAGGCAACAGATGCCCTGTTCCAGCAGGGAGCCCCATAGTACCTGTCTGGGTTGCCCAGGGAAGGCATGGGCAGAGAGGGGTCACGGGTGCCACATACCTCGGTCATCTCGGCCACCGTTTCCTCCACCACCTCTGCCTCATCAGGCAGGGCTTCCTGCTGCTGCTGGAAAGAGAAAGTGGGGTTCGGAGAGGTCAGGACCAGGCCAGCTTCATCTGCTGGTAGACTTTGAAGAGCAGTGTGTGGAGACTCCCCAGGCTGCCTCAGGACTGCCATGGTGGGGGGCGGGGGGGCACAGGACAAAGCAGGGAAGACCAGGGAGGCTCCCCTTTCGTATGTTTTATATCCAACTATCTAGGCCAGCCTAAAATTTAGTTTGCAAAAGTATTTCTGCTGCTATAGAACACCTAATCTACACTTGTACCTCCCCTTGGCCCCATTTGTTTGGATCGGAGTCTGATTCAGAAACGGAGCCGTCCCTCTCAGGCTGGATTCTCTCCTAACACCATCCCTGTCACCCCCTCACACTTGACTGCTTGAATTCCTCTCATGACTGAGAGGCCACTTCCTTGGCAACCCTAATCCCTGGCCAGAAGCTCTAACTGCTAAAGAGTTCATCTTCAAGTTCCACAGAACTCTCTTCTCTGGACCCTCCCCCAACCGGTCCTCATCCCAATTTTTCTTCTGAGCTTTGTGGCTTAAAAGAAATCAATTTTTACAAATGAGACAACTGACTTGAGATGGGGGAGTCCCTGGCCCCTCTGAATATGCAGGGCTGGCAGGTTCAGACGCCCTGGAGCAGGCAGTGGAAGCTAAGAGAAGGAAGATAGGATCCGGAGTACTCACAGGAGCTGCCAGGGCCCTCCCGGCCAGGCAAAGGAGAAAGAAGATCCAGGCCCTCATGGTGCTGGGAACCCTGCGGGAAGAGAGGTGGAGACTTCCATGAGGGAAGGCGTCCTGATGGAGTTACTTCTACATCCCTGGAATATGTGGGTTGGCTTTAGATGGTTTATGTGTTAAATGGTGGTGAAAGATGGGGGAGGAAGGTGGTTCCGTGCCGTATTCTTTCAATCATGATTATATGAAGAAAAAGTCTAGGTTGAGGGCTAGCCCTCATCTCCTTTATGACCGAGAGCAGCCCTCTGGTTCAGAGCCCCCACAGGAAGCTAGAGATTCAATGAACTTGTCTTGTTTGCTTTTTGTTCATTTTTTAGAGTTTCCTTCTATTTATAACAAAGGTACACAGAGTTTTCCTTTTATGGTAATGATAAATAAAAATACACATGTTTAAGTTTTTAAAGCATTTCAACCAAGGTGATGGGCTAATTAGTCAAGTTTGGTCATGCTAATTCAAGCCCTTTAATCCCTGATGTCCTAAGATTATTTTCTTTCCTATTCTCCAGTTCCTCCTCCTCCTCCTCCTCCTCTGTCTCCTTCCTACCCGCTCTGCAGTGGAAGAAGTTAATAGAGAGCAACCTCCTGCCAATCCGAAACAATGAGATCCACGTTTACAACAAACAATAATGTTCAAGTGTGACCCATGGAAACTTGAGGGTGACCACATTTTTCTCTGTTCTACCCGGAAAGGGCAGCACTTCTTTGGATTCTCCAAGGAAACCATCCAAATACTTCTTATTACGTTGCACAGGGGATGTTAGTTACGATCTAGAAAGTTTCTCTGCCTGCCCAGATCACTGCTAAGACCTGGGTCTCTAGATGCCAAACCCTAGACTCTAATACTCATGGCTATGAGGTAATTTGGAGCAGAATCTTTAATGATTCGATGCCAAAATCTCATCCCCAACAAAGGGTCTGTGATGGGGACATTTTATTTCTTGTGCTAACTAAATGGGCTTTCATTTCCAATTTGCTTTAGAAAGTTCTTCCTTATTCTGATTCAAATCTACATCCCTCAAACTTCTCCTGGTCTATCATTTCTCTCTTTCTGCACCACCCAGAACAAGCCTGCTCCCTTTGTCCCCAAATAGCATTTCAGTCAAGGGCAGCCTTTTCTTTCCTCTCTTGTCCCTACAACTCCCATCGGGCTCATCATCCCCAGGTCCTTCCAAGACTTCTCAACTGACCAAGCATGACGGTGGGAGTTCCCTAACATTGTGGAATTCCTCAGCTGGGAATTAAATGCCAGGAGTTCTTGTTCTACCTCAAGACTTTACTATGTTAATTAAGTCTTTTGTCCTCTCTTGGTTTCTCCATCTGTCAACTGAGGATGTTAGGTCAGGTGAACTTTGAGATAGACTGGGTTTAAAATGCTCTTGCAATGCCACAGGCAAGCCTGGGGGTGTTGCTCAGTGGTAGTGTGCTTCTTTAGCATGATAAGACCTGGGTTCAGTCCTCAACACCAAAAAAAAAAAATCACAGGCACAAGTTGGTCTTGGTATGTGTCCTGTCCTTGGGCATCACCCATCTTTCCTTGGATGACAGTATTTGGGTACAAATGGTCCTTCACTGGGCTCAAAGAGACAGAAATCCTCAGCCCCTGTTTTATGAGGTGTGCATGATATAAAACTAACAGGAATTTAAAGGAATTGGCGTGCGAGCTTGGCATTGCTTCACAATGGCCCCAGCTCTCCAAGGAGTCCAGTCTTCCTTCTTCAGGAAGTTTCTGGAATGTTCCTCTCCTTCACACAGTTGTTCACTTGTCTCCCCAGGCTCAAGTGGAAAAAGTCTTCCGCCTTTCTTCCCCATTTGGAAGACATAAGTTAAACAACTCCTGCATGTGGCTTTGGGCAAATGGGACAGGAGGGGAGGCATCAATGAAGGACTTGTCTGAGATGAAAGTTTTAGGATCAAAGTGAGACTGGCAGTTGGAACAACAACAAAAAGTCACCCCGTCTAAACTACAATGTCAGAGAAGTCATGTCACTGGAGAAATAGCCCAGCTAGGACTGAAAATGTAATGAGCTTCAGATTAGAGAGCCAGAAAGATGTGCTCTTCAGAGTCTGTGTCCCTCATCTGAGCAGGGACACAGATTCTCCCATGACCAGGGAGAATCTTTGTTGGTTGGCTCTCTGGCTGCACAGGCACCCTCTCGGCCATCCCCATCTCTGGCCTACGTCTTGCTGGGTTTTATGGTTCCGGGGCACTCTCACATGCACATTGGCCCCTTGGAGCCTGGTGGCAACACTGGGCAGACAGTGCGTTAGAGTCCCGAGTCCTGCTTTCCCAGGGAGTCTGAGGTCAGAGGGAGGGGGCCCCTGCCCACAGTCTCACAGCATCTGAGCACATTCCAGCTTGACAGACCCTCCTCCCCTCATGGAGCCGTGAGCCTAATAGGGATTATGCTCTGAAACTGAGGTGGGGGCAGGGGAGATATGCAGGTAGAGACTGTTGAAAATGAAACACAGCATCATAGAGGAGTTATGCTCCACAGTGCTACATTCTCAGTCCTAGAACCCTTTTCCTCCAAGACAACAGGGTGACAGGAAAGGGAAGCAGCTGGACTCTTCTGGAAGCACAGCCATTCTTCCTGTATACCCATGAGATACCTGCCTGAGGTTCTGTAAAACACCGCTGGCCAAAGAGGCTGGGGTCCACCCTGCAAAGCTAGTGGGGCATAAAAGTCACCCCAGGCAGGTCAGAAGCCAGTGTCGAAACCCAGCGTTTGGGACTCACCAGCTGTGACCCTGTGCCAATCAAGCCTAGGTCTAGTATGCCCAGTGACAGCCCAAACACCCTCTGTATAAACCAGGGTTAAATTAAAACCTTGTCTCTAGGGAAGACAATCCAGCATCCCATGGAGGGCTCAGAGCAGATAGATCTTCCTGCCTAAGAGTACAGATGAGAAGACTGAGACCCCTAGAGAGCTGAGCTGATAGCTCTGGGGCATGAGCAGAAAGGCTTGGGGGAGGACCCAGGCAGCCGCCCTCCGCCACTGGTCTGTTCTCCATCTCAGGGAGCCATTTCTATAGCGCCTGCTCCTTCCCAAGTGGTCACCTAAACAGCCCCTGCTGGGCTGAACTAGCCACAGTGCTAGGAAAAGAAGCGCCTGGTCAGAGGAGGCACTGGAGGTGTATTTCCCTTGGTTTGGTGGCCACCAAGCGCAGAACCCACGCCCCCACCCTGCCAGGGCGGCCTCCTGTTCCGTACATCGAGTCCTGTCCTTTGCCTTTATTTGCTCTGGAGCCAGCTGAAAACCCGTCCTGGGCTGCCAGCAGGACACGAAACTCAAGGTCACTCCTGTCTTTAGAAAGACTCTAGGGATGGAAAAGTACAGCCAGCCCCCCAGCTTGCCTCCCCCCAAACATCAATGGCCTTCTCTGGGGCTCTCCCTGGACGCTGAAAAGTCACTGAGTGTCAGAACTGGAGGAAATCTCAGAATCAGAATTTTAGATCGTGTGACTCAGAATCATCTTAGGCCCCTAGAAGAGAATCACAGAACCTGAGTTTTAATCATCAAATCAATTTCTTTCTATCTTATCTTTCATTCATTCTTTCTTTCTCCTTTCTTTCTTTTTTTTTTTTGTGTGTGTGTATGTGGTACTGGGGATGGTACTCAGGGCACTCTACCACAGTCCTTTTCATTTTTTATTTTGAGACAGGGTCTCGCTAACTTGCCGAGACTGGCCTTGAACTTGGGATTCTCCTGGGTCAGCCTCCTAAGCATCTGGGATTACAGGTGTGCGCCAGTACACCCCCCTGCCATCCTTAAATCTTAACTTGAGTGAAAAGAGTTTAGGGAGAATTGTGATCCAAAAGAACTTTCTAAGATGATGACAATATTCTATATCTGCCTTGCCAGGTGCAGCAGCTCTTGACCATGTGCCATCATTGAGCACTTGAAATGTGACCAGAGCAAATGAAGAGAATTTTTTATCGTATTTCATTGTAATTAATTTAAATCTAAATAGCCAGCTGTGGCTAGTGACTACCATACTAGAACAGTGGTTGTAACGGCAACGCAGCACAAAGGTAAGCTCATGGGCACTGGAGCCAGAATGTACAGGTTCAAGTCCTGGCTCGGCCACTTAGCAATTGTGGGATCTTCAGAAACGAGCTTTGCCTCTCGAGTCTCAACGAGTTGCTCTGTCTGTGGAATGGACAGAATAACATACCTACCTCGAAAGGCTCTTGGATAATCTGCACTAGAGGGCACAAGGTAAGCAGTAAGCAATGTTGTGCAGAAGAGCATCTTAGAATTCAAGCATCCAGAATCTCCATCCCCCTCAACAATTCTGTGAAAGAATCCCAGCTCTTTGTCTGTTTGCCCAGGAGAAAGGTGTGTTGGGGTGGAACAGAAGAAATATTGCCCAGATTGGCCTGGGGGAGACCAGCCTAGCTTCCAGAGAGTGCAGTAAGGATGGCCAGGCCCCAGGCTGGCCTCTTAGTGGGCTGCTGACGCAAGCCAAACATTTCACTCCCACTGTCTGGCTTGGAAACAAGGGTTCCAAAATCACATGTTACTTGTAAACAATCCCAAAGGGAGGAAAACAAGTTTAGAGGCTAAGAAAGGAAGCCATGTGCCAGGAGCCAGGACTCAGAGGCAGGGAGGGTGGGCTCCACAGAGCTTGGGCCCAACCAAGTCAGAGACGTGGCACTGTGGCCAAGGTGGGGACACTGGCACTCCTGTTCATGTCCTGGGACCAGACCCAGTCACTCAGAGGTGGCCTTGTGAAGTAGAAGTTAGGGGTCTTGAGATCAAGTTTCGCTCCCAGATCACTGTGCAAAATTGGAGAAGACTTCTTTCCTCTCTGGATCTAAGCTACCCTGTCCTGACTGTCCAACAAAGAGGCTATTCTATATATTTGTTTGTTTATTTGTTTGTTTATTGGGAGAGGTACTGAAAATTGACCACAGGGGCACTTTACCGCTGAGCTACATCGCCATCCTTTTTTTATTTTGTGACAGATTTTGCTAATTTGCTAAGTGTCTCACTAAATTCAAGGTTGGTCTTGATC